TTAAAAGCTACATATTGTACAAAAGAACTTTTAAGAGATACTATATTCAACTTGTCTTGTATGACAAAAGATTAAACATGTTCTTTCCGTTTCTCCATTTTTCAAAAATATACATTATAACAGTTGTAGCAACACTGAACCAATTAAAGGGCCTGAAATAACATTAGCCAAATGAGAATGTTTATGTGAAGCAAAGCTCCAAGTTCAACTAAAATAACAACAATTGCATCTGAAAGTGTTTTTTTGTAAACAATAACTACTTATTTGTTATTTTTTCCAATAACGCCATCAAAGCAACTGCTGTTGGCTTTGTTGCTGTTGCTGCTGCATGACTTTCAGCATGTCTTTTTGTTGCTGTTGCATTTGCATTTGCTGTACCCTCAAGACCTCCATTTTCTCTCTCTCGAGTGTTTGATACTCCTTCCTTATCTTTAGGTCTTCTGCTTTCAGTTGGTCACTTACTTTAGCTCTTTCAGCTAAGTATTCGATAGCATCCCCTCCACTTCTTCGTTGACGCTTCGGTTTATCATTGCTTTCATCAGCTGATGAGTCTCTTTTCTTCGTATCTGACAGCTTATCCATCGCTTTCAGTCTAACATCGTTCACCTTAGCCCGGTCGTATTGAAGTTTTTTACTACCTGTTCCCTGTGTTTCGTGTAATTCCGCTTCGCCACTTTCCTCCAACGCGATGATCGCATCCAATAGGTTTTCTAATTCCGTTGGCTCATCGGGAGTTATACCAGTTGCTTTTTCCTCGGCTTGAAGTTTCTTCTTATGCTTGCAAAGAAGAATCCCCACGTGGTCTCTAACTGATCGTTTATCAACTCTGAATTTCGACACAGAACATTTGTTTAAGGTGTCTGCTATTTTTTCCCACATGCTGCTTCTTTATGTGGACCCTTTCTTAATTGTGTAGGGATTTACATTGACGACTTCTCTGCATAGGATGGCTTCATGGTCATATGTCTAAAACATTAATGAACTAAAGGAAGGTATAAAAACATACAAAGTTTCATAAAATTAAATTAAATTGAATCGGATTCAAGCTTAAATGTGCTAGTTTAGCGGCCGATGAACGCAATAAATCGAGAAATGCAACAGCACAAGAGACCAGGAAAGTATGTAGAAGACTCCTGCGTTCACTAGTTGCAGTTATAGCTCGTGACTAACTTGGAAGCCTTGGTCGAAGGTGCTGCCATTTTATAAGCTTCATACACCTGAAAGAAATTTAAAAAAAAAATCAAAATTCTTCCATCTCTGCGATCTAAAATGTCGCCAGAAATTACGTGTAATGATCCTGGATTGCTAATTTTTCATGTTTAGAGGAATACATCATCATTTAATTTAAGCACTGGAAGAAATACTCACGTTTCGTACAGAACGTCAAAATTGCCAAAACCACTTTTACGACGTGATGTGATGCCATCAGGACGACGGTGTGAGCATGCACAATATGTCATCTCTTTGAAAATTTACTTCCGGTCGCGTCTTAAAGCCGTCGCGTTTCGGATCCGTTTTAATAAAGTCCCTAATCTGTGACAATCAACCGCCAACTGAAGGTACTAAAGGTGAAGTGATCATTGTTGATTAATCCCCGAGACAAATTCGAATTCGAGGGGATTATACAACAAGATTCAGGGAGCCTGAGATTATTAATTTTTTCATTAATATTGCTCTGGAGCTTTCTAATTCTGTTGTAATTTTTTGTTGTTGTTGTTGTTAAAACCATTCTGTTACGATTGTTTTGACTACTTATTGAGATAAGCTGCCGGTTTCTACTTGAATTTAACAGATTTATTCAATTCAATTTTCGAAAACTTCGTATATTTCTTTTGAAAAGCATTACGCCAATCTTCGTGACATCTTTTTTGCTCTTCTGAGAATTGAACTTTGACAAAAGGACAAAACGCGAGAAAGCCATTTTGAAATTTAGCGCCCCCACGCGAGGTGATTATAGCGAGATATAACGCAATCTTTGACCAGTCAGAGTGCGCGCATCTCTGTAATCGCTGGAGCGATGTTCCAATTCTTTTCGTGACATTGCAAAAAGGAGTCTGATTTTCATTTTTAATACCTCTTTAACGAAACAGGCACCCGGTGTATTGATACCAAAAGATAAAAAAAAGCTTGATTTCATTGAAAACACTAATTGTTATCATTTATACCGTTTGTTTCCTGGTTTATATTGTTTCTTCTATGACTGAAATAAATTTCCTGGGACTTTAAGCTGGCAAGAGACCAAGTGAACAGTTGCCTTCCTCGTTTGCAAACAGCCTTCATTTTGAGTCAATTTACAAACTTGAATAACTCTACGGTTACCGTAATAAAACTGAAATTGAAATCAAACTGATTGTTTTTTTGGCGAAAAGCCGGTTCTTACACGAGACCTAACAGAGAAAAAATGTATGTGTTGTTTAATGTTCAAGTTCATACTTCTTTAATTCGTGAGAAAATTTGATTTTTAAATGAAGCCAGAAAAGAATCTTGGTCGCAACTTT